TCTAAGTTTCTCTTAGTGAAATGTGAATGTTTGATATATGTTATTATTTTTATTTCTATTTATTTGATCTTATTCACTTTATTGTATTTACGTCCTCTTTGCTCATGTCCTTTGGCTTATTTATCTGCTTTGTCTGGTTGTATTTCTTTTTGTAAAGCACTTTGTGACATTGTTAAGAAAAGTGCTATATAAATAATATTACATGCTAATGCTGAACCAATTCAAGTATATCTCCACATCTAAATCAATACATTCATGTCCTTCCCTTTAGCTACTCAAACTCAAACACAAACACACACACACACACACACACACACACACACACACACACACACACACACCACAAATACAGGGTGATTATGCAATTTATTGGGTTGTTATTCAGCGAAGTAAACTGTTTCTTTGCAGCTATTTTGGTAACTTACATGATTTTTGTGGCCTTCTTGATTCCATTAGCACATAAAAGGAAAATACCCCTACCACCCAGACACACCAGCCCAGACACATAAAACTCTCTGTAAGCACAAAGACAAAGACATGCTTATGCACTCTTTTGATCTGAAAAGCAATGCCATGGCTCTGTTTTAAAAATCTCAATCAATCGTGAAAGAGGCCGCATGTGCCCAAAGAGGTATTTGGAGATCCCTTATTATCACAAATTTATAAAATCAATTTGTAAACCACCCAATATCTCACTCATCATCATTGTTAAACGTCAGAAAAGATATCAGTGATTTATATAGCGCATACTGAAACAGGCACCAATGTAGACAAAAACTAGGACACAAAAGTATGATTTCAAACATGCACACATTACAAGATTTGAAAATAATAGCACATCACACACTACAGGATATTATTAAGATGATTGTGCCAGAGGGAGCAATGCACTGTGATCTCACAAGGAAGCAGATGTGCAAAATGGAGACTGTCCTGATGTAAAAACTCGCTGTAGTAAAGCTTTGAAGTAAGAAAAAAGAACAAAAGCAGAAGGCCAGTCTGGATTAGTGTTACTTTCGTCAGACGAAACTAAACAAAATATATTCGTCCTTAACCTTTTTTCCCAGACTAAAACGAGACGACGAGACGTGACAATGTCCTTAAACGCTGACTATATTAACTGACTTTATTGCCATTAATCTTTTTTCTCCATCATCATGGATCATGCAGAGCGTCACACTTCATCCAGTCAGAGGGAACGATCACCGACCGTTCGCAGTGGGCCAGACGCTCCGCGATCTCCTGTGCCTGGTCCGCCCCACTCCCTTTCCGGCACGGGTTGTGTCGCTAGTACGACCGACAAGCTGTGAACGGTTGATGATCGTTCCCTCTGGCTGGATGAATATTAAGCATAATCCATGTAGGCCTACTACTGCAGCTGGGGGCTCCCCGCAGCGCCACGCAACTTTCTAAATTCTTCCCTCTCACGGAGAAAAGAAAGGTCAGTTAGAAGGGTGTGTGAAGTGTAATTGTAGCAAAATGGTTACATATGACAACAAAATATCTTATTATTATTATAATAAGACAAACATGCCTGATACTTCTGTCAGCCCCAGGCCTACATGCTTGCAGCTATTAATGAATCAGCAGTAAGATTCACAGTTGGTCCCCCTCCTCCCTGTCACGGGAAAAAAAAACTGAGCCCCCCGAAAGCTGTGTATAGTTCGCACACTTATGTGGTCATAAGATTTTTGGAAAAAACACTACAAACTTGAAGTGGCATATGAAGGCTAACCACCTGAGAACTGATTATGTTGTACGTTAATGTCTCATTTGCAATAAAAATGAGAACAAAGCTAACATTTGAATCATATCTCTACTGTGGTTAGAGCAGATAGACCAAAATGCTAATCAAAATTATACTACTAAGTTAGAAAAAACGATGATTAATGACTAAAACTAGACTAAAATACTTTTGATTTTCTTTTGACTAAAATCAGACTAAAATACCCAGACTTTTAGTCAACTAAAACTTGACTAAAAAAATAGTATACAGTGGACTAAATATGACAAAAACTAACAAGGACACTTGACACAGGACTAAGACTAAGACTAAATTTTAAAATGGCTGACAAAATTATCACTAGTCTGGATGAGAAAATGTTTGGGGAGACGTGGTCAACGTGCGTTGTCAATTCTTCAGGTGAGATTTTAACTGTTTGCCAGTTTTAATATTTATCAACGGTTGTATGCTGGCTAATGTTAGCCTAAAGGACTAGCTTATTTACCACTGCTTGGCAACACGGTGAACTGCTCTGGGACTAACATTAGACATGTCTCTCTCATTGGCTATTGTGGTTGTGCTTGAAAAGTACCGACGTAATCATCCAGATTTTCTGTCCAGTTGAGGAGGTTTAAGACTGGATCTGCAAACCCCTCACATTACCAAATAATCTGTCCCGAACATCAGTACCAACCAAGGTCCCAGACAAGATTTCTCCTACGAAATTGTCCCAAAACCCCTGTAGTCTCTGCATGGCTTTAGGTTTATAAATGTGATACGAACCCATCCAGCAACCTAACCTCCACACTCTTTTCTCTAGCAATACAACATGAACGTCACACTGCTTTCTGTGTTGGCAATGAACATTGGCACTAGATGCAAATTGTGTCCTGCAGTATCGTCCAATTTCAACGGAATTCCTTGGGACACTGGGCTGGTGTTTACAACATACTGGATAAACAGTTGAAGAACAACAGTGCCAAATACACAAAAATCCCAAATGGATAAAGAACGTGACTAAAGGAGTTGTTGTAAATCTACAGATAAAGGAAAGTTTGCTATTAAATTTTATGTTTGGGGAATGGTGTTTGCTTGGTTTTTATGTGTACCTCTCAGTAACATTTGGCCCCAGGTACAAGCCCTACTCATCCATTCACAGTCATGCTTCTGTATACAACTAAATGCAGTATTTTTATATTCCTATATAATTCAATATTTGTAAAAATGAATGAAAGTAAATGAAATACAACACAGTATTTACTGAAGTATGTTATTTTCAGAAAGAAAAATTCAGCATTTTGATTAAATATGTCTTGTACGAGAAATAAAATAAAATATGTCAATTTGTACGAGAACCTCAACTGAAAATAAATAAAATAAATGAAGAGAGAGCGAAAGCATGACCAAAAAAACACCAAATCTTGCCCCACCACCCCCTCTCACCTCCCATCCATCACAGACCCACTCCGGGACCCCTTGCAGTTTGCCTACAGAGCCAACAGATCTGTAGACAACGCAGTTAACATTGCCCTTCACTTCATCCTCCAGCACCTGGACTGCCCTGGGACCTACGCCAGGACCTCGTTTGTGGATTTCAGCTCTACTTTCAACACCATCATTGCGGCTCTGCTGCAGGACAAGTTCTCCCAGCTGAACATGCCTGACTCCGCCTGCAGGTGGATAACAGACTTCCTGATGGACAGGAAGCAGCACATGAAGATGGGAAAACATCTCTCTGACTCCATGACCATCAGCACCGGTTCACCTCAAGGCTGGGTTCTTCCCCTCTGCTCTTCTCCCTGTACACCCACAGCTGCACCTCCAGTCACCAGTCCGTCAAGCTCCTGAAGTTTGCAGATGACACCACCTTCATTGGGCTCATCTCAGGTGGGGATGAGTCCGCCTACAGGTGGGAGATCTACCATCTGGTGACCTGGTGCTGCCAGAAAAGTCTGGAGCTCTACGCATTGACAGTGGAGATGGTCGTGGACTTCAGAAAGATCAAGGGCCGGCTGCAGCGTATCAGCGTATGAATCTTCCATCTCTTCAGGACATGTACACCTCCAGGACTCTGAGGAGTGCAAGAAAGATTGCAGCTGACCCCTCCCATCCCAGTCACAAACTATTTCAGTTATTCCCCTCTGGCAGCAGGCTGCGGTCCATCAGGACCAAAACCTCTCCCCACAAAAACAGCTTCTACCGTTCTGCTGCTAGCCTAATTAACAAGGCCCGATCCCTCACTGACACTTTCCCCTTCCCTCTCAAATACTGTATATCTTTGCACATGTAAATATTATCTAATTTCACATCATTGTACATACCCGGTATATTGCACATATTTGTTGTGTAAGTAGTAAGTACATATTTGTAAGTGTTAATCGTTATATTTTGTCAATCAATATTCATATATTTCTACATTTATTTATGCCAACTGTATGTTTGTCTTTGTTTGTCTACATGTAGCACCTTATCTCCAAATCAAATTCCTCATACGTGTAAAATCTACATGGCAATAAAAGCTTTTCTGATTCTGATTCTCACACACACACGGACCCTCATCATTTCTCTTGCGACTGTAAAATCTTCCTGTCAGTATCACTGTCATAATTGGTGATACAGTCCCCCTTGGAACTTTCTTAAATCAAGACCTCTGTCATTGTTACGAATAAACATTGGTGGTGACTCGCTTTGCTCTTCAAAAAAGATGAAACAGCTGCTCTTACTCACACCGGTTCTCCCTGGGTGACACTGACGCACATACTGCACTGTGCAATAACTATTGAAATGACATTTTACTCATTCAGCAGCTGAAATCTAGAGGCATACAGCCCCCCAAAAAAAAAACAATCAGTGAAGACAAACAATGTAATCCAGGCTTTATGCACCAGTGTGTCGTGTGAGCAGAGCATGTGTGGGTGTTTGCATTTGTGTCAGGTGTGTGTGCATTCGTGAGCAGAGAAACATGGGAAAAGAGGGCATAAAAAGAAAGCAATGTGGAAGGGGAGAGAGATGGGGTGTTGTTTGTGAGATACTGTTTGTTTTCAAGGCCTCCTCCAGCTCTATCTTTGTCTCAACTTTACCTCTCAAAGGAAGGTGTGGTAGAAAGGCACCCAAAACAGAGGCAGAAGAGAGGATGATAACTGAGGTCACACTCCACGTAATGTTGTGGGACAATACGTCCCACTGAAAGACAACCTTAATAACTCCACTCATGTTTTATTTTCCCTTTCAGCCTCCAGGAAGCTGCGGGGAATTAATCAGGATAGTGCTGAGCTACCTGCAACCACGCTGGCCAGCTGCTGTGTCCGGGTGAGGGGGTTGACACGGCGTGCCTCCACAATGGCTGAAGCTATTTTCCTGGAGTGTCTTTCTTCCCCATATGCAGTGAGGATGGATGCAAGAGCCTGTTGATCTAAGGTATTCACAACGTCAGCGGCGCAGGGCATGTCGGGGTACCTACGCACAAAGACAAGCCCAATTAAGCTGCTTGACGTCACGTCCTTGCTGACAGTGGCGAATTCTGACAACTCTGAGATACAGCTGAAAGCCTTTCATGGCTGACAGTGATGAATAGAATGAAGGTGAGGGAATGAAGTAAGAAATGCAGCTTGTGCAATTGCTTATAATGAGGTTATCTTAGCTTTTTGCTTTGCACATTATGCTGACATTGTAAAGTGATACATAACTACTTCTGAAAACATTCAAGAAACATTCAATTGCAATACATACAGTATGTAAGGTACAAACATACATAAATATAATGTATGTTGTATCCGATATATTATATATATACTCTCATTTTGTATACCCAATCATGCATCCGAAATCTGAAAGAGCTTCTGTAGCATATAATGTCACTCTTCCTTTCCCTTTGCTACTAGGAAAGGACAGTTTTATTGATGCGACCACAAGAGGTCGCTTGTCAGGAAAGCACTTTGTTTTAATTGACAACGATATTGTTTTAAATTTTTTAGATTAGTTTCAGAAATAGGAATTTTCACGTTTCACTATACAATTTCAATGATCAACATGCTCACTTATGTTATTGGTAGCCCAATTTGGCCATGCCCCTTCTTTACATTACTGCTTGAATGAGTACTGAAGCAATTTCAAGTCTCTCATCATCTGGCACCTCCTAACATTTGCTGGGGAAAAAAAGTCTTGTGTTTTTTGTGTTCAGTTATGTTAATGCAGCATTACTAATCAAACTGAGATCTATCAGCCTTTCAGACATTCTGTATGTTGCAGATCTCTTACCTCTCTCCATCCATTCTCATATCCAAGGGCCCATCCTTGCTGATGGAGAAGCCTCGCTCTGCCTCATCCATCTGCATGGAGGAGCAGCCAGCATCCAACAGGACAGCATCAACGCTGCCTGGCTTGATGTTCATGTTAGACAGGAGGGTTTCAAGCTCGCTGAATCGGCCAAGCAATGGTTTCACACGACCACTGAAGCAAGCATTAGGAAAAGAGCAATTAGACATTTGCATATTAAAACCTCAAACTCCATTTGGGAACTGCGTCTTGTCATCAGAAAAAAAGTATCAGGGGATTGTTATACCACATACCTTTTCTCTTGTAACACAGAAGTCACTTACCGGCATGCATTGCTCTGCTGCTATTAGCTAGTTAGCTCACTTAGCAGGCCCTATTGGCTGACTCTACGTGGACTGGGAGCTCAGGGTACCAGGGGAGTGTTAGTGTTGGTTATACCACCAGCACTGGAGCTTTTGACCAAAGGGAGGATGAGGTTTTCAGGTTCGGGGTGAGGTGACCCTTGTATGATGTTTTACTGTGTTGAAATAAATGAACACAATGTTCAGTTTCCTTGCTGCTTGTCTGACAGATTCATAATCATTACAGCTTGTCGTTAACAGGTGGCTCGCTTTGCGCCCCTGTAAAATTTATATTTTTATCATTTATATCATTACAGTTTGGAACTTCTCTGTAATGTAGCACAGTGTTAACAATGTTACTTATATATTATTTCGCAGCACTGGAACTCAAACTATTTTCTGATGCCCTCAAAAAAATATATAAATATTTCAATTAATATCATAAACATGCAACGACTAGTCGACTACAAAACTCTAGTAAAACTAATAGTTACATGATATACTTATACTTATAATAACGCTTTAAAATCATAAGACAATCTATTCGTCTAACCCAAGTGTTGATGTAAATAACTGTGCACTTATTCACATCAACACTTGGGTCAGGCAACATCCGATCTAAAGGGGGGACTAATTTTGAACTTTACCGTCCTCATTGCCTGTCCATCTCTTGCCACTGATTGTCTAACCGTGCTCCTCGGGAGGGATATAGCGCTTCTGGTATCTAGATTTGTTTTCCTAACTTCTGTCTTTGTGTTCAACAATCTATTTGTAAAGAAAAAAAGAACACTTCAATTAATCTTATTTGGAAAAACTAGTGCCATCATTTAAAAAAAAGCTTTAGCAGGTCCAAGAGGTGAAGGTGGCTTAGAGATATTATATACTTTATGGATGTGAATTATACCTTTAATTTAAAACTGGATAAATGTAGGAGTACAAGTTCAAGTTCAAGACCAAGACCTTTATTTGTCCCCGAGGGGCAATTAGTTTTGCTGCAGTAGCAAAGAAGTTGACACACAGTACATGAGTACAAAGACGACAATACTAATATTTTTTTTTTAAATGGGAGGGCTACATTTCTTCTACTTACTAACAATGAAATGGATGTCTGATTTGTTTTGTCATGTCACCTATGTTCCATGTGACATGTTCTAAATAAAGTTTGAGGGTTAAAAAAAACAAACAAACAAAACAATATGCCGCTTCTCATAGAAAATGAATAGGAGTCTTCACTTCACCCAACCTATGGATTTCTACTCTTAGTTACACACATTCACACCTGGAACCTGCCCAGTACAACCACAGTCGGATTTGCTGGCCCACTGAGGAGCTCCACTGGAGCAGTTTGAGGGTTATGAGCTGTTCTCAAGGGCACCTTAGTCTGTGCAATGACTAAGGTAATGAGGCAGTGGCAAGAATTGGGAATGCTAAGGAAAGTCCCCTCTTAAATTTATGGGAAATATTGACTGTTTTCAATATTTTACGTTTACAGCGTCATACAATTTAGACGAACACCCACACTCAGCATCAGGAAAGTCAATGTTATTTTAGGGAGATATTTTGTGGGGAGACCATGTGAGATCTCCAATTCAGTAGCTTTCCAGTCAACCTTTTATAACCAAATCAGGTATTTTCTTGGGAGCCGGATGTCTAAGCTAGCCTACTGAGAGGCTTATCACTAACAGAGCAAGACCCTGTATTCTCAGTCACTTCCTCATGCACGAGTGGTGACATCCTCCAGCCACATTTACAGTATGCATTTTTCATGTGACCTTTTATCATTGTGTGAACAAAGATGATGGCAGAAGAGAGCAACAGGAGTTAGCATCTATACATTGGGAGCCAAAGGTCTCATGCAGTCTTTTCCAGACATGAAAACATGTTTCTAAATGTCTAAATTACAATCATCTCATTTTATCACAGATGTACGAAAGCTAAGCAGCTCAAATTGACTACGCCGTCCTTATATAGAACTCAATGTGTAATCAGTCTGAGGGTAACAAGCATTTTTTTAATGTATCAATATGTGACCTACCAACATGGGATCTCATAATGACCTCTGGTGAGTCATATGTGAGTGCTAAAATGACACTGGGAAAAGAAAAAACATTTTCTGATGCTTTTAGTATCCCGCGTCATTCACTCATTTAACGGCATTCATTTTCAGTTTGCCATTCATTAAAGATGATACATTTGTAAGCTTCGCAAAACTAAATATGTTTCTGTTTACATTCTGCGACTGTTTCATGATGGAACAGGTTTAAATGTTTGGAAGAGAGGAGTAAGTGCTTTAATAAAACTGTGTAGTCAATTTTCTCCATTTTAACTGTTTACTTATACATTTTTTCTTCAAAAACACAAAAACAATCAACGTGGTAACACAATAAACAAATAGGTTAAGCACTATAACTATGACAGGACAGAGCTGACTTATTAATATTTCTCTATTACATCAATGGCTCTAACAACTTTAGTAAGTAACAGTGCCTGAATTTGTTTTAACCCTCGCGTTAACATTAGCTAGCACTGGATGGCTATGGGGATCTGGTAGGCTTCGTCCTCTGCTTATATGTATGCAATGATTTTTCAAATGCTTCATCTAATGCCTCACCCATATTTGAAGCAACTAGCAACCTGTGCAAATAGTTGAGTCACTGCTCTCAACACATGAATCTCCATCTGGAGAATGCTTGTTGATTTGACTATATGCCTACCATGTGTAAGCTAGACCACAATAGCCACTTCCCGCTCATTACACGAAATACTGTTAATTCTCTCTGCCTCCACATTTTTCAGGACTACTGGTGCACCGCGATATAAGTTTTAGTCCAGGTGTCTGTAAAGCTAGTTGCAAGAATGAGTCAGAATGGCTGTAGACAGGAGCCCTGTAAAGGCAAAGTATTTATTGCCATTAGCTTACAAGTATCTGTTGCTCCACTATATTTTTATTTAAGTTCAGTTTATTTGTAGTAAAGCAGCACCAATTATAGTTTGAAGTTTAAAAAAAAAAAAAGAAAATTGTATTGCATTAAGAACATACTTATTTTCTTGACAAGATAATGAAGGTTTGTTTGTAAGCGAACCGCATTGATTCCAATAAGCAGCATCAGTATTGATAAAATAAAGGTATCGATATCCTTCCATTCTCAGATATTTTACTAAATTTGAAACCTTTATGTACACAGCATTGACACCACCTTTCTCGACATTAACTATGGGCATTCAGGGAAAGAACACAAATTGGCAGGTCCTTTATTTCAAAACCCACTGAAGACAAAATGGCAAGGGAGCATCTCACCCACGCTGCCAGGGCCTTCCTTTACTTGTTATTCACTATCCTGCACAGATTGATTTGTTGAAAAATCTATAGTAAAGGCTTTGTTGTTCTCTCCCATCACCTGCGCAATCCCTTTCTGTTACTGCCTCCTCAGTAGCACTCTACCCACCATCTCCAATTTCGAAATTTTGTTCATTATTTAAAGTTGCAGTATGAACAGTCGTTTTGGTGAGAGTTTACAAAACTCTCATTGGTTTTATAACATTTTAGTCATTCTGGATTCAGTCAGTTGGGGGTCAAGCAGTATTGTGCTAAAGATGATTTTGTTGTTGCCTCAAAGCTAGTCGCTAACTTTGTCTGCAGTTTGGGGCTGCAAAGATAGCACACAATAAGTTTATCAGAGCTTTTTTTTAAGGTGAGATGAACCAAAACCATAAATCTGCAAACATAAAACAAGTTGCTAAAAGAGCCATTCTGTAGAGCTGCAGATTTAATGCTGAAACACACTTCTCCGGGCTACACGTACGCAAACATTGGGTGTTTCTTTTATACTTGTATGTACAACTTATATAACATGTAAAAGAAAATTTGTTGTTGTTTTTAACCTGCCTCCTTGGGAGTTGGATCAACCAATCAGCTTGCTTGGTGCGCAGTTCTTCACTATGCAGTGATTAGATTTGGGAGGTGTGCACATTGGCTCCTCTGAGATCCCTACAGTTAGCAGCAACATCTACGTTCACAGAGGTGTTTCGCATGTCTTCACAGAAGATAATTCCAGGTAATTCCAGCTTTGGGTGATTATTTTATTATATCTTTACAGAGTTATCTTGTACTTCATCCTCAAATAAATGCAAGCACAAATTATACATTCATTTTATTATTCTCATACAGGTAGAAGACGATTTGTGCTTCCAAATTATTGCGGTAGACTTTTTTTTACAAAAGCTACAAACTCAAACTTTCCATTGTATTTTCCTGTTTGGTTAGAAAGTGACCTTCAACATGACCAATTAGCTTAACTGCAAGATATGTTTCATATTGTATTTCAGTGGAGTAAGAACCTGAATATAGTGCACCCTTTTCTATTTATTCAACCAAGAGTCGGTTTTAGATTGATTAAAAACATTAACAGTAGTAAGTATATTACATTGATATATACAATATATTGACATTTTCAGTAATAGCAAAAAAGATGCCTATGCACTTATATGCTAAATGCATGTAATTCAGAATGTTGATAGTTATTTTAAATAAATACATTCAACACTGATCTTGTGAAGGCATTATCAGAGGTAGAGCATGGCCACAGGGAGAGGAGAGAGGGGACAGAGTTCCACTGACTGGTAGGCAGTGCCCGCTGTGAAGCCACAAGCTTTCCAATGAATGTTACACAAGTTAGGGCTGCATAACACAAATGCTGAATTCGTCATTTTATTAGTCTTGAGGAATAGAAAGAATGTGAGCTGGTCTATGTAGAGTACCTTCTCTGCGTAACTGCAGACAAGACACATTTTTGTGGTGCTGTCAGCACCAGCCAGCAGTCTAACTGGAGGTTT